CACCAGGTGACTGTGACTGCGCTACAGTGTTCCGGTGAGAATAGAGTCGATATAATTGTAGCCTGTGAGCCATTCCGTTTTAGTCCTCAGAGGTGACAACGATCGAATGGCCTTCTTTATTTGAAGTTGGTTGCAGGTATCCATTGGTTGCAGTAGCGACTTACAATTAGGTGAACTGATAGTTCGTCAGTGCTTCAGTTATATAAACTCTCCAATGCCACCACTACACGGCAGAAGACACACCTTATAATTTAGGGAATAATAAATTCGCTTCTTATACAATATCCGCTTCTTATACAATATCCAAGAGTTCATTCCTTTTACAACTTAAACTTCTTATATCTGAATAATATTTTTAGCTACTTGCCTATAGAACAATGATAATCTCTAGCGAAAGCACTATACCATAGTGTATCTCTATTGTCTTCGTCGCTAACCGCTTATCTGGCGGCGGTGTTGCCACATCATAAAAGCATATTGCTCGATGTAATGACTACTGCTTTGTTAATAAAAATAATTATCTTACAACAATAAGTTTTAATAAATCAAAATTTATTTCAGGAACCGACATCGCACGCCTCTTACAAATTCTGGAGAAAGTAGCACGGAAGGTGATTCTAGTCATCAAAGTCAACGCAGCGTCGTCTACTTGCATGCGACAACTGGTATGTATGATAAATGTCTCTCTCCCTCTTTTTTCTCTCTCTTTCTCTCTAATTTTAAACAAAGCAACCTTATAGGCAAGACGTCCACCGTAATTACATAGTATCTACTGTGTCAGTAAAAGTGTATTATTTTTTACTTAAGAAATAATTTACATTGATGTATTTGGGCCCGCGGGTGTCATAAGAATTGACAGATGAAAAATAAAACAAAAGATGGAAAGCAGCAAACAACAATTCAAAATACAGTAACTGCGGTTGCCAAAGCACCTGCCAAGCGTATCAAGCATGGCAAAATCCACCCCATGAGGCAATCTATGGAGGTGGCCTATGTTCATCAGTGGACTTCTATAGGATGTAATGGATATGGGCTCTACTTATAGGTACTTATACATTTGCTATTTCTTTCTATTCATTCATCACTGTCATCATCACCACCCCATAAAAGTCAAAGGCTAGGTATAGGCATCTCCCGTAATAAACAGGATTTGCCTTAATCGTCACACTTGGCAGGCCGTAAGCAAAATAGTTAATCCGTAAAAAAGGCCGTTAACAAAGTAGCGCCATCTATCGGGAGCCATAAGATTCAAGTATTCAAGTATTTATACGGGACGAAAAAGGGTGATGGATTAATAGGTGATGGCAGCACCCGACAAAGGCGAAGCTATTTATTGAATTTCTTTTTTTTTTCTAGTTGGCGACATTCCGGATCCGGGTCAACTGACCCGCAATCGCTCAAGAGACGACGTCTCATCCGTAATGTCGTCCAATCTTCAAGTCAGAAGCACGACCAAAAGCTTCTCACTATTCGCTCCATGGACGCCCCGCCACTACAGTGAGCAACACGATGTACACTACGCACAAAAACCTAAGAAAACAAAACAGAAAGAGAACGTATTTAAAAAGGCAAACTCGACGAAGAATTTGAACGATGACAGGCCATCTACACTACAAAAAAATAAATCATACAGCCAGACAACGCTAAGCCGTCGACCACAGAGTCAGAATCGATTAACGAGTTCAAGCACAACACTATACCGTAGGGAAAAAAGAGGCGGGAAAGACAGCGCCAGTGAAAGTACAATGTCTCGGAAAGCACCAAACAGCAAAAAAAGCCAATCGAGTGAGATACTGAATCGAAACGAGCGAGAGAGAGTATCTCGATCGATTTCGATGCCGAAGGACCAAAACAAAAAGGCCGGTTGGTTTAAGATGTCAAGTAAGAACAAGAAACCAGAATTGAATACACGTGTCCGTTGATTTAAGAACCTTCGCTTAACTTTTTTATTTTTTCCATTAAATTAAATATGGCCGATTATAGGTTTTTCTCCACAAGTTTGTATCTTAAAATATTTTGTATAATAAACTTGTGAAGAAACATTCTTTTTACAAATAATAATCGCCGAAAAATTCAAAAGATCCATTTTTATAATATATATATATTTTAAATCAGCCATATTATGATACAGGAGTAAATTATTAACATTATAAATCCTTATTCTTCTGTTAATTGTAATCTAACACCGAAAAGCTACATAATAAATGACATATCTATTTCTCATGGTGCTATAAATATATGATGAAATTTTTGATAACAATATAATATGTACAACAAAAATTTATAAGGAGAGTTTTAAATTATATTTGGTAATTGTTTAAAAGTCAAACGTATTCTACGATAAAATTTATTACAGTGGTATATACCACGAATACCACGAAGAAATCTAGTTTTTACAGCAAAATGTTTACTATATTTTTTTACTAACACTGAAAATGGCGGAAGCACTAATTGTTCCCACATTTATTCTAGAACTTTCTTTATTTACATTAAGCCTTACGAAAACTGCATCATATTATGAAACACGAACGTAACGAGTAATATTGGCAGAGACAATAGAACAACTACAGAATTTTATGCAAACCAGAAATTGACTAATTTCTTTGTTTAATTGTCACCCAGTACCTCTTCTTCCTACCAGTTACTCAAACTAAAATGCTACTTCTTTCTAAAGGGAAAAGTATTACATTTAGTAAATTATAAGATAGTTCCCTCAAATTGTTTACTATAAATATATTTCTATATATTACTAAAGATTATAAAGAAAATTTAAATAACTGTAAAGGTATCAAGTGCCATCCGTGAATAGTTCTTCAACGTTACCATATTTAGAATTTTAGTCATATTTTTTTATCTTTTGTAACAAAAATGCTTCTAATTACTAATAAGAAAACAATTATTTTAATAATTTTATCTGTGCATATTACGTAATATTGCTTTTAAGATCTCTAAGGACCAGATTTAATAAAATAATGTTTTATATATAAGGATTTAAGTGTTATTTGGTGTCGATTGTCGGATGTAATAATTAATAAATCACCTAATTTTATTCCCTTTTTTTTCTTATAAACATGACTGATTTATTCTTACCCTACGCTCAGGACAACAAGGAAGGTAAACAGAACACTACGTACGTAGCTACATTTCATATCATGCCGTTCACCTTGCTCACGTACTCACGCACACATCATAATGTCCTCTAGACCGAATTTCGGTCACAGCAGCCACTCTCTGGAGACTAGCCAAATGCACGGGACAGGATTATAGTGCCCATAGGTATGCGCAAGCACAAGTACACTCCCTTTTTCACTCTCGTACTCCGATGGGATATCCGTCACGACCGAAGAGAGAGGACCAACGACTTTACGTGCTTTCCACGGCACTGGGTTTAATAACCGCCAACCTGACTACGGGCTGCTACTGAGTTAACTGATTCTGGCCAAACCGGCCCTAATAAGTTATTGGGTTTAGGGATACGAACCCGAGACCTATAGACTAACGACCCAGTCGATGACACACGTACACATCATATGAACCTAAAAACATGTTGATTCAACAATTATTTAGCTGCACTTAAGTACCTATGGGGAAGGAAGGTTCTCGAGTGGCAGCCTCTTAACGGTAGGCAATGCGTAGAACGGCCCCTACACTTATGTAGAGTGACGACAGGTATAAGATGCAGGAAACCATGCTCAACTAATTGTAATAACCCACACTCATTCACACACATCTTCATTAACATCATCATAGGCCACACCCAAGGAACACTTCAATACACGATCCTTAGTCACATGCATCCATCGAATTCCTGCACGTCTTACTCCTTACCACGTCGTCACTCTTTCTAGTACACTTTACTTACCAGTAAGAGATTAACTTAATAGTCAGTTTTTAAACTATATTTAACTGGCCCATTGCCCGCTTCGGTTTGCTGATCCTTTGGGCTACGTCGGTAACGGTGTCGGTGAATTAAAACCCTATCCATAGCTCGCTTAGAGAAGTGTATATAACGTGCTGAGCATCCTCATACGACCAGCAGCAAACCACCACGTCTCAGATCAAAATTTCATCTGTGATTAATTGCAAAATTGCTAGCCAAGCGTGGCAACTTTGACAAATATCCGACTTCCCCCCTCCCATAAGACAACCTATAGGGGAGACCTATATACAACAGTGGACTTTAATAGGCTGTAACGGTAACTAAGCTCTGTCAAATAAATATGTCGGATAGTATTACTTATACAATAATGTCAGATAGCCATCTATGCCCTGCTGTGCCAACAAAGCAAAGAATCAGGGAGGTTTACTATGTTCAGCAATGGAATTGGATGGCTGTAATGATAGTGTATGTCTGTACTGGATAAGATCCCAACTAGTGTGTAGGTCACCCTTTTTAAAGAAAAATAGAAATATATAAAAAGGAAGGCCCACCAGGGTGCCTGGCGCTGCGGAGCCGAGAATTCGAATTCCGAACAGTAGTTTTTGTGTGCGGCCTCCAAATAATTGTTCTCTATCTGGATGTTTGATCCTGTGTAATTTACGTCGTGCAGGTGTTTTACACCTGCACGATGTAAATTACGCTACGATACAAAAAACTCAAGATTAAATTAGTATAGGACGCGTTGATTTAAACCTAGAAAAATAACTACCGAACTAGCAAATTGCTCATTTAGTTGTGCCCGAAAATACAGTTATTTTAAATTTCTTTTTTTATAAAATAAGGGTTAAAAGGAGCACACAGACAAGACATCCACATCTATCCCCGATTAAAAGTCAAAATGCAGATGCGCATGAATGGAAAACAAACTATTTAATATAGTTTCATCAAATATGCTGTTAACTTATATAAAATAATATTATATAAAAGAATTGCGTAAATAAATAAAACTACTTATTTATAAATTATAAACTAATTTTATTCCAAATCAGTCTTTACAAAACGCGACACGAAAACAATGCAATTATTAACACGAAGATAGTAAAGATTAAAATGCTATTGATTACAATTCACATTTCTCATCACCAGAACAAGAGCCCTTCGTCTTCTCCTTTGACTCCTTTCTGACAGGACCAGTTTGGGTTATAGGCACCACTCTCTCTCCCTTCGCGTCAATATGCTTTCTTGGTGCGGTTATCGTCAAAATTCCGTCGCTGGACAATTCTGAGACCACATTTTCCGACACAGCACCTTCAGGCAACGCGTATTTCCTCGTAAACTGTCTTGAAACATAACCATGCTCATCCTTTTTCTCTTCATGTTTAGCCTCGACCACCACATAATCATCAGCAGTCTTCACAGTGATTTCTTCAGGGGCGAAGTGCTGAACGTCCAAATTGATTTGGAATTTGTCTTTCTCCATTTTAATAGTCGATCCTAGGTCCCTGGTTAGGGATTCTAGATACCTCCAGGGTCGGAAGTAATCTCGAATCATCCACGGTCCCATCATAGATGTAATTATGTCGTCAGGTGTCAGCGCCATCCCGAAGTCTTGGTCAGCAATTGTGTTGCCTTTTTTCGAACATTCCTCTTCCCCGTGAACTCCTGCAGCCAAAATCAATGACAACGCAATAACTAAACTTCGAAACTGCTTCATATTTACGTATTTATGAATACTACAGCACGACACTCAGAATAGAAAAACCCTGAATTGAATTCTGAATTGCACTTGCAGTCGCTTGCTTGTGATCACTTGATTACACTGGATTACACTCTTTGCTTGCTATCCAAAAACTATGCTTGAAACCGATGAAATGCCGGTTTATATATACCTCCGACATCTAGCGGCCAATAGCAATTTCTCGAAAACTCTGACGTGTTTTCACAATGCAACGAATTCAGGCCACGTAACCGATATTTCCAGCAGTTTCTAGATTTCTATATATTTTAAAAATATGATTAAAAATTCTTAAAAGGCCTTAACGACCATTTAAATAATATAGGCATGGGTAAATATGTATAAAAATATAAAAGAAAATAACTTACTTACCTTCTAACAATGCGCAATAACGACATCTAGTGACAGATTATGATAGACCGATATACGTAATATGATAGCGATTATGTTCTTTCTCTTACCAGAAAGCTCTAGTAAAATGTATTGAGTCCATAATCAATGGTAATTATTTTGGGACAACATTTTTATTACCTCATCCAAATATCATAAACAATATTATATTATATATTTTTATGTTATACAACTAGTACCAAGTTATAGTTATAAATAACATATTTATTTTACTAAATTTGTTTTAAATATGTTTTGGGCCGTGGTAGCTCAGATGGTTAGCGCTCGCTGTTAATTTCACTGTACACCAGCAACCCGGGTTCGATTCCCGCTGGCATCAATGAAATTGTTAATTGTAATTTTAAGTGCTGATTTACCACGTGCTCGGCGGTGAAGGAAAACATCTTGATGAAACCTACGTGTGTGAGAAATAAGAAAAAAAATATTTCGAAGACATGTGATGTTCGTCAACACGCTCTGGGATAGCGCGGTGTTCATCTCCCTTTTCTAAAACCCTATCATAAATAAGAGGATGCCTGTGGCCAGCACTGGGACGTATATAGGCTGCAACTTTAACTTTAAATTTCGGCTCAGGAAAAAATACAATTATACAAGATTTGCTGGTTTTCATGGTCCACTCTCATACAAGAAACTTTCATGTCTTCATTAACCCACATTTTGCATATTTCGTTTGCTTGTCTTAATGTCACTGCATGGAAATATCCAGTTTTTAGCAAAATTAATTAATTTTAGTGTATATGCGTATATTACGCGACAAGGTCTCAATTTAATATTAATAGTATAAGAATAATGTGTTTTTGTACAGTAAGTACACCTAATTATAGAATAATTTTTTGACAATTTTATACTAAGTGAATTATTTTAAGGTAGGTTTGAGAAAATAATTTAATAAATAACTTTAAAATAATGCAACTAAAAACAGACCAAACGCACATCGCACTTTACGTATAAAGTAAAGTGTAAAGGTACAGTAAGTATTTCAGATTTCTTAATTTACTCTTGTTGAATTACTGTTGTGCTCTAGCTTGAAGCATACGGAGAGTTATTTATAATGATTACACGATGTAAAGCGTTTCATTTTTGCAAAAGTTACAACGCACTTGTACCATTCTGAGTTTGAAGTGGGTTGCAGATTGCAATTGTCCAAACAACAAAACAAACAGGTTATAATTTTATGTTTTTGCTGTGGCAGTGAAAAAGCTGAAACTCACAGCGACTTGCTGTATATACATACATCATGGCGCTGATTTTCTATCAGCACTCGAAATTAAGCTCTTAATATTTAAAAAAATAAGTTTTATAAGAGTTGAAGTCACGGCCATAATTTCCAGTTTTATATATGTTAAGGTATTAAATAGATCAAACAATCAATAAATAGATTTAAATATTTAAATTTGTAAATGAAGAAGTGAAAAAAATAAGGGCATGTAAAATAGACGCGAAAGCTATGTAAAATACTAATACTAATCAGTCAATTAATAGTAAATAAAGTATCTTGGGATAAGTACTACGATTAGGTAATTAAGATTAACTAATTATACTAACAAAACCCACTTCCCACTTACCATAAAAGAACTATTAGCTCGTTTGTCACTTTAGCTTTCTTGGAAATAATGCCATTTTATTGCGTGCCATATTATCAGATTTAATAATTATTTTTAACATTCATTTCATTATCATCAACTAAGTCATTCTGAGAAACAGTGTTTTAAAAAATGAAACTCAAAATAAAAATAAAACATGATTCCATTTTATGTTTTAATTGCATAAATACTCGATTCCGCGTTTGCGTTAATGATTTGGTCACCCGAATTCATGAGCATAAATCGATAATTACAAGCACAGAGTGCATTGTGTACACAAGATAAAGTTATCACAGATAAAAATAACCTTGAATGGTCGATTTATTTGTGCAAATAAAAAAAAATATGCAGTTTGCTGTAAACTTTATTACGCAACAGACATCTATGAAATATATTTTCACATTTCCAAATACTATATTGGAACCAATTGGAACCATCGATTTAGTATAAACTGACGTACTATATCTATGATTGGAACCCAACGGACTCCAACAATATATAACGGCAATAGGTATCAACGGAAACTAGCCATCCGCGTAGGATAACACATATATTTATAACATTATAGTGCACGAGTATGTGCGCAAGTGCACTTTCTATTCTCTCCCTCTCATAATCTGATGAGACAGCAATCCGACACGATGCAAGACAGAGAGATCAGGCGCAGGACCAATAGCTTTGCGATCTTTTCAAGGCACGGAGTTGAAGTAACGCCGTCATCCTGACTGTGGGCTACTACTGAAAATTTCTGATTTTGGTCCAACCTGGGTTTTGAACTCTGGATCACATGATCAGCAGTCGTACTTACGACCACTTGACCAGCGAGGTGGTCAGTCCATTAGCACAGAATAACCATTAGTATGATGATAATGAGGGCTAATAATTTTCCACTCACCAGTGTCGCCAGTTGAGAAATTAAAATAAAAAATTATTATATATTATTAGGAAAATTCATCTTACCAACGTGAGAGGATCATATCCAGCAGTGAAATTTAAGGCTGATGAAGAAGTCTGGACACTGATCCCTGAAACGTCAATGTACCAAAAGCCAAAAGTAAGCTCTTGTAAGTTTGTTAAAGGTATGAAAATAGTTTAAAAATAGAATATGTACCGAGTATAAATAGGCCCATAAATTATATATAAAGTATAAATAGGTATAAATAGGCCCATAAATTCGCCATATTAATAATTTATGGTCCATATATTAAATGTCACATAAACTAGCGACAAACTAATAAGAAGTGCTAGCGCAACACTGGCGTAGTTCTAGTCTAGTGGATTGCCATACTTTTATTGATTTTCGCCTTCTAGAAACACCTGAATTATTTGGTCTATAAATAAATTAAAATTAAAAATTTTGTAAAACCGACTTCAATATAAATTATTTAGAATAACTCAAAACCTATTAGTCAGACCTTGATCAAATTTATATGGGACCACATGTGAAGCACCAGCTTTCAAATAAAATAGGAGTCATCGAAATCGGTTCACCCAGTAAAAAGTTATGGGGTAACATAAATACAAAAAAAAAAACATAAGTACCGTCTCCTTTTTGAAGTCCGTAGAAAAAAACAGAAAAGGTCACCAGTCATACGAAATAAGAGTAAAACGAGTACCTACCTACCTAAACACCATACCACAAAATGTTAACTGCAAGGCTGCCAGATTGATTCATTAGATACCAAAATGGTAATTTTGGTAAACTTCTGATTTGCTTCCCTCTGTCGCCTTTTTTATAATTTTTCTATTATTAAAATAATATGTTTATACTATGACATAACAATCTTTTGATTAAAATTTATCCTTTTTGTTTACGGAAAACATTACTAAAAATAAAATGCTTGCGAAGACACTTTGGCAGGCTCTTATCTCAGAGATGCCTTGTTTAGAGCCGGGCGGCATCCAAACAAAGCAGCTGAACTGAGTAAATGGTGCAAGTATGAGTCTCTCAGAGACGATTATATGTTTGTTCCGTTTCTTGTAGAGATTATCAGTCCATGTGGTCCACGTGCGATGGAGTTCCTAAAGGAACTTTACCTGCAACTGGTCGTTGATGCTGGTGATAAGAGGCCTGTTTTCTTTTCTGTCGACTTCCAAAAAGGTGACGGTACTCAATTCGATATCGATTCATAACTTTTTACTGGGTGAACCGATTTGGATGATTCTCTTTTTATATGAAAGCTGATACTTCTCGTGTGGTCCCATATGAATTTGATCAAGGTCAGACTAATAATTTTTGAGTTATTCTTAATAACTTATATTGAAGTCGGCTGTACAAAATTTTTAATTTTAATTATTTCGCTCAAAGTCTAAGTATAGCCATTCAGCGAGGAAACACAGCCAGCATTTTTGGCACGATACCACGGGGAATAGGACTGTATGATAATTAAGTTATTAGTTTTAGTTTTTTTTATTATAGTTTTTTAATATTGTATATATTTATTAAAAATCAATGTTCCCTAAAACATGGTTGAATGAGTTAATAATTTTAAAAATTTAAGTACTGGCAGCCCTGCCATCGTGCCAGCATGAACATGAAGTCAATGTCAAAATTAAAAATTGTAAATTGAAATTAAAATTTTCACTTTACGTATAAAGAGAGAGTTACTAGTTCCTGTATAGGACAGTTATTATATTATACTCTTTGGTTACTAGGTATCTACTTCTTTATTTATTACACACTTTAACTTTATTATTAGTTAGTAGTATGTGAGAGACACAATTACATATGTAAAAGAGGTGCTGCATTCTTCGTCTCTTAAGGTTTTAATAAAATAATTTTCTGTGTTTTTATTTTTAATTGTGGTCACGGGAGCCAGTTGTTCAGAGTTAATATCTAAATATGGCACGTAGATATCGCGACGCTGCTGCAAAATTGCAACAAAATATACAAAAGCATTTAAAGGAAATGAAGGAACTTTCATCGTCCGATGATGAAGAACCCTTTGAAACTAGCGTACTGGACGGTGTATTTCAAAGCTATTGGAGAGGCGGGGGCGACAAACAAATGCTAAATAGAACAAAAAATCTATTAGAAGAAGCCATAAGCGGTCGAAATATTACTTGTCTTATATGTATAGGGTCTATCAAACGAGCTCATGCCATATGGAATTGTGACCATTGCTACTCTTATTTTCACCTCTCTTGCATACAAAAGTGGGCGAACGACTGCGTGAGTCTTAAAAGCGATGAGACTCAAGGCCCTATTGCTGTTTTTGTTCCAAGAAAAGTTGAATGGTGTTGCCCGAAATGTAGACATTCATACAACAAAGAAGAAATTCCGCGTAAATACCGATGTTTCTGTGGCAAAACTGACAATCCTCCCCTTCACCCCTGGCTAATACCCCATTCCTGTGGTGAAATTTGTGAAAAAAGACTTTCATCAGGGAATCACTGTAAACATAAATGCCTTCTGCTCTGTCACCCTGGACCTTGCCCACCATGTCCGCAAATGGTTAATGGAGTTTGCTATTGTGAGAAAGAACATAAAAAAGTAAGATGTAGTACTGGAAGATGGTCTTGTGGACAACAATGTAAGCAAATCCTGCCATGTAAATCTCACATGTGTGAGAATGTTTGCCATGATGGTGACTGTCCTCCATGCAGTTATACAAGCTTACAACCATGTCAGTGTGGTGCTGAAAAAGTAAGACGTCCATGTAATGATTTAGAATGGCAATGTAGTAAGAAATGTAACAAGCCATTTTCATGTGGATACCATAAATGTGAAAAAATATGCCATTCTGGTGACTGTGGATTATGTCCGAATTCCGGTTTAATGTCCTGCCCATGTGGGGCAAATCAACGGTATGTACAATGTCCGGATATAATGGAAACATGTTTAAGTACATGTGGTAAGAAACATGAAAACTGTGAACATAACTGCCCAGAAAAATGCCATAAAGGTCCATGTCCACCTTGTCAGGTTATGATTGAGAAGAAATGCCAATGCTCAACACACACTAGGGCACTACCCTGTAGTAAAGAATTCAAGTGTGACTCAAAGTGCAGGGGTACTCGCCCCTGTGGTAAACATGCATGTGGACGTAAATGTTGCAATGGTAACTGTCCACCATGTGAAAAAATTTGTGATAAGCCCTTACAGTGTGGCCGCCACAAATGCACCTCAGTTTGTCATCATGGTCCTTGTTATCCTTGTTCTAGGGAATCAAAAATAACATGTAGATGTAAAGAAACATACATCACTGTGCCTTGTGGCAGAGAAAAAAATATAAAACCACCAAAATGCTGTCTCCCTTGTAAGATTAAATATAAATGTGGCCATATAGAGGAAAACAAACATTCGTGCCATTTTGGTGAATGTCCGCCTTGCAAAGCTATATGCTTCAAGGCATACCAGAAATGTGGTCACCAGTGTAAAGCTACGTGCCACGAATATGTGACACTTGTATTTAAACAAGTGGAAAAACCTGCTACACCATGGGAGATACAGCCTCCAAAGTCTAAAGTAATGACATTAGATTGTCCTCCATGTGAAATGCCTGTGCCAGTAACTTGTTTTGGTGAACATGAGATAGAACATCAGCCATGTCATTCTGCATCTAGACGACCATGTGGCCGAGAATGTGGTCGCCCACTTGAATGCACTAATCATGCTTGTATTCTTCTCTGCCATTTATTTACTTACAATCCTGATTATCCCAATGTGCCTTATAAATGTAAGCCATGTGATAAAGAATGTTTGGCAGTCCGTCCAGAAAAGTGCACACATAAATGTGCAAAACGTGGTTGTCACCCTGGACCATGTCCTCCATGCGAATTATTTGAGCGCATCCGCTGTCATTGTGGTGTAACAGAACTTTATTTACGGTGTAGAGAGCTATCAACTGCAACCGAAGAAATGTTTTGTTGCCAGCAGCAATGTCCAAAGATGTTAGACTGTGGTCACAGATGTAAGAAACTATGTCATCCAGATCAGTGTAAAGAAAACCAAATTTGTTTGAAAAAGACAAAAGTGCACTGTAGTTGTGGTAATTTGAAGAAAGAAGCACCATGCAATGCGGTGCGACAACAAGAAATAAAAATTAATTGTGACAACAGTTGTGAGGCTAAACAAGCTGCAGCAAAGATAGAGAGAGAAAGAGAAGAAAAGAGACTGAAAGAGCTAGAAGAAGAAAGAAACCGTAGAGAGTTGGCAGAATATGAGTGGAAGTTGAGTGGCAAAAAGAAGAAGTATAAGGAAAAGAAAGTGACCATTAATAGAGATGAAAGGAATTGGCTTCAAAAGTATTGGATTATCATTACATCTATAGTCGCTTTATTGATTGCATTCGTATACTATGTATTGTACATTTAACCTTAACAATTATTTGATAATCAAAATTGCCCTTAGTTTGCAATTATTAACTGCAGCACAATGCATATTAGTAAAATATTTTTCTTCCATTATTTTGTTTTAGTTCATTACTAGTATTGTTTATTTTTATTACATTTTTGATAAGTTCTAAAACAATTATCAAAAAACCTTCACTGTTATAATGAGATGATTGGTCTAACCTAATTTTGTCTTATCTTCTGGCATACTGTGATGTGATAAAATCAAACAGTTTGTGATGGAGAAAATGTTTTTATGTGATGTCTTCACAGGTATATAGTTGTGTTTACCAGTAATAGGATAATGAGTAATTTAATTTCATGTTTTTGTTTTCAAGTATTTGTTTTGAGATTCAGTTTAAATTTTATTTTATAATTTTTGTTATAATTTAGCACCTATGATAAGCACTTTTTTAATTTTTTTATAATAATGTAAGTTTCAGTTATTTTATTTGTAAGTTAAATTATTATTGGAAGACATATTCTGGTGAATAAATAAACAAACTAAACATTTATTCAGTATTTTTATAATACTAATTTACTGAAAAAAGCACCTATCTTTTCTTTTGTAAATAATGCTCCTAAAAAAACAAGTAGAAAAGTGTTCTGTCCAATTAGAACTAATCACAAACTTGTAATTTGTCATTAGAGTTCTAATTGACATGCACACACACCCACACAGACACGCAGCACTGCAACTTTCACAAACACAAACCCTTTCTTCGGGTTTGGATGGATTCTTTGAAATCTGTATAATTTCTCACTATTAGGTCTGAACAAGAGAATATTTACTAAAGTGATGTAAACATTCTTTGCCAACACAATAACAAAAAGCTATAATTCTTAATAATAATTTATTGTTCTTCAGACTGGGTTTCAGTCACAGCGGCCAATCTTAATGGAACTGGACTAGCCATTTGTACAGGACCATATATTGTATGTGTGTGCGCAAGCACAAGTGCATTCTATTCTCTCCCTTTCATAGTCTGATAGTATGGTAATACAAGACATCCAAGAGCTTAGGCGCAGACTTTATGTGTGCTTACCGAGGCAGCATGTGAAATACCGCGAACTTCTTGATTCCTAGCTGCTATTCAGAATTTCTTGACAGAAAAACTCTATAACTGCTTTGGTAGACCCGGGAATTTGCACTTACAACTACTAAACCAAGGAGGTAGTTCATTACACTGGGCACTACTGTATGCACTACATACAGAAGTTTAACCAGCATATTGTATTATGAGATAATAACTATATTATAAAGAAATTCGTGAATGAGAATTTATATTTTGTAATATACATGTAATAGGCATAACAGTTAGTCTGACCATTTCTGTGTGGGGTAGAATAAAAAAAAATTAAAAATATAGATATCACAGGACTTCAAGTGTGCACTTCACACCTTTGATGCTATCCTGGTACTGTAATTCGTATGTACGTGGTAGAGCATACTACAACTATACAGCTATATTAGTAGTATAGTTGTAGTACGAATGGGTCGGCTCGATCAGGGAAGGACCACGCTCTCACAGAATACTAGCTTATCACTGCTGTGTTTCGTATGGTGAGTGTAGAGAACCGGAGACCCTTTTTACTGGACAAGAGGCATTCCATTTTAGTCCTCACGGGTGACAACGCATCTGCATTTTGAGTCTTTATTGAGGATAGATGTAGATGTCTATGGGTCACAGTAACCACTTACCATCAGGTGGACTGTGCGCTCATTTGTCACCCTATCCTATAAAAAAAATTGTCTAGTAAAATTTAACTATTTTATCAGTCCGTGGGGTCAAGAAGATAAGAGTAATGAATCTGGAATGGAATTCTCTTCATCACATCAAATGAAAATACTGGTATTACAGTAAATGTATTTGAAATAACTTTATTAAAAAAATATAAAAATAGTATTTGTGGTTTTACTATAAAACATTTATATTAAGTTTACATGATATATTTTAATAGGAAACAAGTAATTATGTATATTATAATATGCTTATTAAATATAATTTAACATAATTATAACTTACAATTCTTCTTTTAACTACATATCAATATGTATAATGTGTAATTTTTAGTTCTAGATTAAATAGCATAGTAATTTAGAGTAGTGTAATATTGAGAACACCCTACAGACAACTGACGGCTTGACTTTCAACATTTTTTATGTTAAATAATCCTCAATCTACATTGAGGTTCAAGACGTGATAATGAGATTTAATACTTTAACTCAATACCAAACAAATGAGAAATTTACTTAATATATCATGTAAGGGTACGGAGTACCTATTGAAGCATTAGGTATCCAGATTCCTGATTGTTATTTGAAATTTGGGGAATGAATTAATGTCATAAACATGTAAGACACATAAAATTACTGCCTCAAGCTGATAAATATGATTACTGAGAATGTAAACAAATTTTTTTTGTAGTTTAGCTTAATAATAAATTATCTCTGTAAGGGTGTGACTTGATTTAAAAGTTTTGAAGATTTATTTGCCCATGGTAAAAAAGTAGACTTAGTTGCAATAACACATTCCAGCAGCATCATACAGTCCACTTCAGCTCTGTGTCCATTAATAGGTTCTTTTTTTAATAGCCTCCTGTATAACTCTGATAAAGTATAACTTACTTTCTCTCTTACTTCCTTATCCTTAACATTATTTTGTTCAAGACACTTTTTTTTATCTTTCACTTCGTCACATGTTATGTTAGATAGAGACTGTGTCAATTCATCCATCTGCTGCCATTCTTCTACACTGGCATTCAGTTCTGGCCACTCATCTTCATCCTCAGTCAGAATGTCTTCAATTTTTGGTGAGCTAGTAGAAATGGGTCTTATGTTATTTTGTTGTGAACTTTTATATGTGTCATCATTCAAAACTTTTTTAAAACCACTCAAAGAGTCTACACAAAGTAAATCATCAGGAAATTTTGCATCTGCATCTTTATATTCAGCTAAAAGTATCTTAAAATCAAATCTATTGCCATTATGGGCAACTAAGCACACAGGCTTTGGCAATTCTTCTAAAAATGAATTAAGAGTTTTTATTTTTGATTTGAACACTGGCTGTTGTGCCAAAGAACACTTTGATAATCCTGTCAAACGTACAACTTCTGGGTTTATTTTCCTTTGAGGGTTAAAAAGCAGCGATAATTTATTTACCAATGGAAGAGAACCAATAGATGTGGATTCTATGTCGATTGCAGAAACTGCTACGAAAGTAAGTTCAGTTATTTTAGTTTGGTTTTTCTCTTGATAAGGCAAACCTGTGGTTTCTATGTCAAAAAACACAAACGTTGAAATATTACACATTTTCTTATTTATAAGTCTAAAATAGCATAATAGAGTCTAGTGTACTATGTTTTTATAGTACATATCAATAGTCATAAGTCAATACTCAATATTTATTTGCATTCCATAATGTACAAATTATAGGCTTGAGCAAAAAATATCGAAATATCGATATTCTTTAATAAAAATATCGATATATATCGTCGATATTTAAAATCACGATATATCGATATTTATTTTAGAGTATCGAATTTGAATCAATTTCGATATATTTTAAAATTTTGTATCGTTTTTTTTCGTCGTCCAACCGTCAGGAAATAAAATTTTGGACCTTATCTTTACATCATTCAAATGATGACAATATATCGATATATCGATACTGTTTAAAAATATAGATTCGATATATATCGATATATTTTTCCCTTTGCCCATCCCTAACAAATGAATAAATATCACAATATGGACCCATCAAAGAGTATAGTAACTGTCCTAGAAGTACATACATATGTTATGTTCAAAGAGTATACAGTATAGTAACCATAGATAAATATATATGTAGCAAGCTAGTTAGCTAATTAGATAGTAACTGTCCCGGAAGTTATGTTAATTCTAAACTTTCTTCTTCTTAATAACAGGCTTTACGGCTCTGGGATCTAGCCCTTCTTAGCCTGAAGTTACAATATAACAAAACAAATATCAACAAAATAAAATAAATACATAAAAAATCATAAATAAATAAAAATCCAACCAGATGGAACCCTCGGCAGGGGAGATCAAAAGGCCGAGGGTTAGGGGGAAAGGGAAAGAAACCGGCAGACGATGCGAGCGGTATCGAGGAGCACCGCCTTCTGCATTTGAGCTTGGAGCGGTCCGTCACGGAGTCCCAGTCGCCTTAGATGACCCGAGAGGCTGACTGGGATTAACCCTTTCGCAAAAACGACTACTGGTATAATTTCGGCCGGCAGTCCGCCCAACATGTCGGTCACCTCGTGAGCCAGGTCCAGATATTTTGTACGCTTGTCTGCTTCGGCTTTCACGAGGTTCTCGTCATACTGAACGGTACTGTCGACCAAAAATATCCTTGACTGTGCCCGGTCCATCAGCACAATATCAGGCTTATTTGCAACAATAGTCCTGTCTGTGATGATGGCCTGGTCCCACTAGAGCCTGGCGCGGTCATTTTCGAGCATGGCTTCCGGCATGTACTTATAATAAGGCAGTTTCCGATCCACGAGACCGTGTTTCAGAGCGAGCTTCTGGTGTAGAATCCTGGCTACTTGGTTATGCCTATGCAAGTACTCAGCGTTAGAAAGCGCCGAACAACCGAAGATGACATGCCTAAGTGATTCACTGGGATGGCGACAATCTCGACAAATGTCGACGGTGCCATCCCTTAAGATGTATCTCCGATAGTTCAAGTTCTCTATGTTCTGTGACATACCCAGGTATAGGTATGTTTCAGCCTCGGATGGGGTCTTTATGTCGATAGGCATAGATTAGCAACCCTTCCCCTTTCAACATGGAGGACCGCACACTTATCCGTCCCCAGCTCCATTCTTTTTTTTTTTTTTATAGAATAGGGGGCAAACGAGCTTGCGGCTCACCTGATGGTAAGTGACTACCGCCGCCCATGAACAACCCTAACACCAGGGGAATTGCAGATGCGTTGCCGGCCTTTTAGAAAGGTGTAAGCTTTTTTCTTGAAGGTTCCTAAGTCGTATCGGTTCGGAAAATTCGCTGGTGGTAATTGATTCCACAAAGAAGTTGTGCGAGGGAGAAAACTTCTTCTAAATCGCACAGTGGTGGACCGCCAATCATCCAGATGGTACGGATGGTAACGCGAGTTTTGTCGCGACGTGCGATGGTGAAATGGAGCGGCTGGAATTAGTCCGAACAATTCCTCAGAGCACTCCCCATGATAGATGCGATAAAATACGCAAAGAGATGAAACATCTCTACGCAGTGCCAGTGTATCGAGCTGATCGGAAAGAACTCGGTCGTCGACGATTCGAATCGCTCTGCGCTGGATGCGGTCAAGTGGAAGGAGCTGGCACTGGGGTGCCCCGGCCCAGAGATGAGAACAGTATTCCATGTGGGGCCGAACTTGCGCTTTGTGAAGTTGCAAGCGATGTGCCGGCATGAAATACTGTCTCGCTCTGCTGAGCACGCCAAGCTTTTTAGAGGCCAATTTGGCCTTCCCTTCCAAGTGACCACGAAACTGCACGCTATTCGATATGTCGACGCCAAGGATTCCGATACTGGCTGAGGCAGCAAGGGGAGTGCCTTGAAACTGAGGAGATACGACAAAGGGGTTCTTTTTAGCGGTAAACGCGCAAACTTGTGTCTTCTGGGGATTGAACTGGACTAGATTTAGTCGGCCCCAATCCGAGACTTTGTTAAGCAAAGACTCGACTTCAGACACAAGTTTGTCCCGGTACTCGGCGACGTTTTCCCGAGAAATATTGGCACGGCCGGTATATAAGGCGTCCCCAGTGCTGTCGTCTGCATAGCAATGAATGCTACCAGTTAGCAACATATCATTGATATGCAGGAGAAACAGCGTTGGTGATAGCACGCAGCCTTGTGGAACACCAGCGTTGATAGGCTTGTAATCAGAGCATGCACCGTCTACTACGACCTTGATGCTCCGATCAGCAAGGAAACTGGTGATCCATTTGCACAATTTCTCGGGAAGCCCATAGGAAGGAAGCTTCGAAAGAGCGCCTTGTGCCAGACCCGATCGAAGGCCTTCGCTATGTCCAAACTAACGGCCAATGCCTCCCCCTTGGACTTTACTGCCTCCGCCCATCTATGAGTTAAGTAAACTAGAAGATCACCCGCTGATCGACCCCGACGAAAACCGTACTGACGGTCACTGATCAGCTGGTGATCTTCAAGGTACCTCATGAGCTGGCAGTTTATAATGGATTCCATTATTTTGGAGAACAACGAGGTGATAGCGATAGGCCTGTAGTTGGACGGGTCTGAGCGGTCGCCTTTTTTAGGGATCGGGTGAACCAAAGCTGTCTTCCATGAATTCGGGACTACGCCTTGGGAGTAGGAGTACCGGAAAAGACGCGTTAAAACCGGTGCCAACTCCGGAGCACACGTCTTCAGCACAATGGGAGGGACTCCATCGGGCCCACTCGACTTGCTGACGTCCAGGGAGAAGAGTGCTTTGCGAACCGAGCGCTGTGTAAATCGCACATCCGGCATGGAGCACTCACATCGCGGGATGGTCGGCGGTGTGTTCCCCCCGTCATCTAGAGTCGAGTTAGACGCAAAAAGAGAGCACAACAGATCGGCTTTCTCTTTTGCGGCATGGGCCAGTGAGTCGTCCTCTCTGTGCAGAGATGGAAGGGATGGCTGACAGAAGTTCCCTTGGACAGCCTTGGCGAGAGACCAGAATGCACGGGTTCCCGAAGGAAGGCGAACTAGCTTCTCGCCAATTCTGCCGATGTGCTCAGACCTTGCCTTGGCAATGACGCTTTTGAAGGACCTGGAGGCGGAATTATACTTCTTTTTAAGTGCGCTGGTGTTTAAATCCCGAGACGTTGATGCATCAGCCCAGGCCCAGCACTCCTGCTTATAGCGTGATGCTATTTTACAGGAGCGACCAAACCATGGCTGGTATCCGCCTCCGATGGGCACCACAGAGGATGGAATAAAAAGTTCCATACCCTGAAGTACCACATCAGCAACAGAATCGGCAACAACGCTGGGATCTTCCGGCGAGAAGCAAACCCGCCCCCAAGGGTAGAATGCAAAAAAAGACCGCATCCCGTCCCAATCAGCTGACCTATAGTGCCAAACACGGCGGCAAGCTGCAGATCGCAACTGCGATTGGAGCGTGAGTGGCACCGTGCTCCGGATCAGACAATGGTCCGAAGAGCCCAGAGGGGCATCGACGGAGACCTGATATCCGTCCGGATGAGAGGTCAACAGAAGGTCCAACAGGGAAGGTACATGGTCTTCCACATCTGGGATCCGCGTAGGCGAAGTAACCAGTTGTGTTAGACCATATGCCAAAGCAAAGTCGTAGACAGATCTACCCGCATGATCGGTTAAACGAGAACCAAGCCATTCAGCGTGGTGGGCGTTGAAATCACCGAGTATCACGATCTCTGCGGATGGGACCTGTTGTAGCACGGAGTCTGCAGCCATTTGGACGTGGTCGATGAGTCGATCTGTGTCGGCATTACCGCTATGGGACCTATAGAGGCACCCGGGGATGATCGTCGCTGTCTACGCGCAGCCATAGGATGGACAGGTCCGTACCTTCAAGGCTGCCGAGGCGTCGAAAACAGATGTCCTCTCTGACGTATACACAAACTCCAGCCCGGGGCACAAAGGAGTGTTCCAATTTGTATCCCGGGTAGGAGAGATATGAAGTATCAGCCGGAGAGGACACCTGAGTCTCGGTTAAAAAGAGCAAGGCCGGCTTCGCCGTCTCTAGATGGTAATGGACAGCGTTAAGGTTGGAATGAAGTCCCCTGATGTTGCAAAAATTCACGGATAGCGTGACAGGGGTCGCCTTGGTTGTATTGCTCCGCTTGCCCCGAGCAGCATTAGTCACGAGCGGAATTTTGCCCCCCCCCCCCCAGAATACGCGGGGCAGCCTGAGCACCCACGCTCAGGAGTGAAGTAGTTTGGTCGTGGATGCTCAGCGAGGGATTCTCCAGGGGTGCTGGTACCCTCCTGGGGTAGTCTTGTATTTAATTCCACTACCATGTTGATGGGGGGGGGGGGAATTGGGCCTCCGGCCACCTGCACTCACCAAGCGCAACGCAGAGGTAAACCTCTACAAAAAATTCTAATAGAACTGCTAAAATCACAAGTGATGTTTAGCTATTCCATAAGATGAGAGCGACTGGAGGCGAATAATTTGAGATCATCCCTATAGAGAAGGTGGGTCACTTTTGTACCTCCTCTCCGAAGCTGAAATCCCCTCCCGGAACCTTCCAGTAAGGTACTAAGAGGGTTCAGAGGGAGGCAGAACCAGATTGGACTCAAACAATCGC